TCTCCTTTGTTTTAGCTAACATGTTTTGTGAGGGGAATATAATCTTAAAATAGTTTTGATAGATTTTCATTGCACATACAATGCCCCTGAGATCCTGTACCACTCCCTTTAAAAGGAGATAAACAGGCACCATTGTATGTATATGCACAGAATATATGCTTATGTTGTAAGTGTATGCAGAGAAGTGCATTGGAACTGACTTAGGCAGAGGCACAGTGCTAAAAATAAATCACAGTGGAAAATGTTAAAAGGTTTTACTCCTGTCTACTTAGGGGTGAGTGCTCTGATACTCTGTCCCATCCCAGAGACATTCTGATGCAAGATTACCACGTGCTAAAGAGACAGAGTGTTAAAGCTGTCCAAGCACTAGCTTCATAGGCTCTAGCTCCAGCTTCTTTGAATATTCGCTAGGGGCTAAGTCAACAAGCAAACTGACCCTAGTTTAAATGCAGACTTCTAAACTTTTTTACTATGCATACTTGAGGCAAAACGTAGTTGTGAGCTATAAATGTGATGTTTGTCTCTGAAAAAAGTCTCCCAGAGAACATCTATACAGCTATAAAAATTCTGCAATGAAGTTATTGTCCACATTATTTTCTTAGAAGCTCAAATTTACAGTGTTATCCCATCTGCCAATGTATACTGTGCACTAGCTATACACTCAAAACCAGCTGCCGTGCCCGCTAACACAGCATTGACATTATTAACAGCGTAGCTGCTGCAGCACAGAGCTCAGTGTAGAGGGCAGGACTCCCTGGATTAACAGAGCAAATGCTGAAGGTATTCAGCCTGCACTGAATGTGTACATCTGAAGCTACCTGCCAACAGTTTGCTCTCTAAGCAGTCCAGTTTAAAGTTGACCGAGATTTACCTACAAGGGCTGTGAATCACACCTATGCAGATACACTTAGGAAGATTTGGAGTAAAGTACACAAGCACAGCCGTAGTACAGAGGACTACTAGGTGCATAATATATGTGCTAAAAATAATTTAATGACTGTTGGTCTTTTTGGCCCACTTAGCTGAAAACAAAGCAGTAAATTAATCTGTAGAAATGCTGTCTCTGACAACTGAGAATTCTCGAGATACAGAAATAAAAAACAGCCTTTCTGGAGCAAGAGCTGGTGACCCTTGCCCAAAGTGAAAAAAAAAAAAAAGGTAGAGCCCAAAGCTTATATAAAACTAACACAACCTTAGTTAACATGGACAGAAAAATCTCTTTTATTTCTATTCAGCTATCTTTCCCTCTTTTTCGTATTGTGCTGCAATGATAGATTTGAGTTCACACGGAAGGCTATAAAACCTCCTGACTTTTCAGAGGCATTAAATATGTAGTTATCACACAAATCCTTTAATACTGTTCCCACACTACAAAAGTTGAGAAATAATTTCTTTAGTCTTGCAAAATGCTATTAGACACCAAACAAACATCCCTGAACACTCAGGACTGAGTGACAGGTGGAGTATCCACCCTGCAGGAAAAGCTAAGATTTTTCTAGTATTGTTTTTGTAAAAAAAAATAAAAAATCCTTTTGTGAGAATAAAAATGCCTCAACTTTTACTTCAGCAAAAGCACATTTTTCAGGAGTATTGCTTTGGATTTTGCTCTTTGTGACTCTATCATGTGTTCCTTACATTGAGATACTAATACCAAAATGAAGTAAACAGATGTAATAAAGTAAAAGTGTAGTTTCCTTCCTGGTCTCTTTACTATGTAGTAAGAAGAAATCCTAACTTCATTGTGAAAGATGGTAGCGTTACAGCAGCAGGACGAATCTCCTGGTGCAGAGAAAGACTGGTTTCCAAGCATTTTAAAGCACATAGTTGATGCCTGAGGTTTTGTGAGTAAGATTTATACGGAGCAGTAGGGAGCCAGTATGAAACTTGTGGGGCCGCTCTGCAAGGCAGGAGGTCCCCGTGTTGCTATACACAGCTGAGCGGCCCTGCACTCCCAACGGAGGACTGGCTTACAGGCAGGGCAGCTGCTCCGCTGCCCACAGCTAGGTTGGCTCACAGCTTGAGTATTGCTTTTCCTGATCAGTGTTTGCCTTGCGTAACAGTTACACTTAACCGAGTATATAAGGGGACACACTGAGGAGATAAATATGTGACTAGCTTGCAAAATGGCAACTGGAAAGGGCACACCTCTGCTGTCCTTGATTCTCGCCGTTGGGGTCACAGCGCTTGTAGCTACTGGTAAGCTTCAGAAGGGTTTTTACCTATTGCCTTCTGTAAGGAAATAGAGCACATGTGCAGCTTGCTAACCCAGGGGAAGCCCGGCTTTATCGGAGGAGCTGGGCACCCAACCTTGCTGCATAGAAATTCAGTCTGAATAGCAAATAGTTCTTAATTTCTTTTTGTGATCTGTTTTCAGTCATTTGTCCTATTTTCCTTTTTTGCAAATAATCAAAATCCTGTCCCAAAATCTTGTCTGCTGAGGCAGAGCAGACCACTGTACCACATTTGTAATTTGGTATTGAGAACTTTCACACCAATCTTAAAATGAATCTTACCTAAATGTTAACGGTATTTATATATGCCATACTGTTTTCAGGTATGTTATAAGCTTTTTCTTTTGGCTGTATATACTATCAAGGGTCCAGAATATATTTTGTGAATTCATAGGTCCTTTCTAAAATAGGAAATGCCTTTTCTTAATGTGTGCAATCTATTGGACTTTTAACTAACTAACTAACTTGGATCAAAAAGGATTAAGATCTGTATGCAATGACTGAAGTGTGTGGATAGTAAGACAATAATGATATACTTGAGGGAGATTATACATACAAACGTATCATAATGAAGGCTGACAATGTCAGCTATACTGATGAGACTTTGTTGAAGCCTTATGTATGAAAATGAATTGTTTAAGCAAAAAAAGGGTGTATGTTTAAGTAGCTAAAGCTCTTAGAAATCTGGCAATTTCAATTCAAACAGACCAATTATGTGATTTTGTGCTCACATCCCCCAGGACAAAAAGCAGAGCAACCAGAAGTGGTGACCAAACATGGGACAGTCCGAGGGTACCGATTCAAAGTAGATGCAGCTGAGAGGAGTGTAAATGTCTTTTTGGGTCTTCCTTTTGCTCAGCCTCCAGTTGGACCACTGAGGTTTTCTGAACCCCAGCCACCTAAGCCATGGAAAGGGGTCAGAGATGCCACTTCCTACCCACCAATGTAAGACAATGACAAAACCATTGATCTTTTTAGTAATTTTATTTTACATGCAGTTCCATGGCACTGATGTACAGGGCAATCAAAAGCCACAAAGATAAATTCCTTGGTGCCATCTTGTTACCACCTGCAACTATTACAATGAATGCATTTCTAAAGACATCTTTGTAAGCTGCTCTTTTTATTAAAAACTCCTATCTGATGGGTATCAGTGATGAACTAATATTGACCAGCACTTTGCCAATAATATTCTGTTTTGGGAGCATTTGGCCATTACTTAGTAATGTTTAGAAACTGTAGCTTTGGAGCAGAAACAGAAAGAAGCTGAGGAAATCTTGGAATAAAATATTAGAAGAAAAAAATGCCAACTGAGTCACATGCTTAATAGGACACGTAAGAAATGCAGACTAATGCTAGTCTATATTGTAAATGTCTTACTCCATTTGTACTACTGCCCTTGTTTAGTGCCTCAAGCCAAATACCTATCATTACAATATAAGAAGCTATTGAAGATGTAAAATAATTAATTTGCATTTTCATTGAAGTAATTTATAGCCATATGTATTTGCAGGTATA